CTTTAACAATATTTTATACTAAAACTAAACTAACTCAAGGTACTTGGTTATTATTTAGATAAACATTTCTGTTAATATCAAAGAAATATTTACTCGAATAAGTATGTAATAAATACTAAATGTACCAAGTCTACTAATAAAAATTATATTTTATTGAATTTTATGTTTTTGCTATTTTTTTAAAAAAAATATATAAAAGTAATGATAATAAATGTTTAAAACTGTATTTTATTTCAAACTTCAATGAAATTAAAACAACATTTTCAGTATAACTATTTAATAAAAATGATGTTTTAAAAAATGAGATACAACTTATAGAATTACAAATATTGGATAAAATATGAGAAACAATTTTTTATATGAAAATATAAAATAAATAAAAATATCGATAACAGTGACATTTGATTAAAATATTATTCCTCTTTTGTATTGTAATACTTTAATTAAAATACAAATCTTAAAGTAAATGAAAGATTTTAGTGTTTTATAAACCAAATTTACGAGTTCATATTTAATATAATACAAATAATTATAATTATCGTTATAATAATATAATATTGTAATTATAATTAATAATTTTTTTAATTTTACTTCAGTAACGTCATTGATCAAAGAGTACGTCAGTTTGCTACTTACAATAATGTTATTTAATTAATAACTCGAATTTCTTACTGTTTTACTTAAAAATAAATCAATTAGTCAATTAGATTTGAAATAGTTGGTTAACTAAGGCGTAGAACTTATATTTTATATTTCTACTGTTTGTATAATATTAATTATACCCATTTTTAATTATTAGATAAATACATTAGTTAACATAAAATATTTATTATCAATTTTAATTTATATACATTTATAAAAAAAAATTTATTTTATTGTTTATTTAAAAAGTTATTGTTAATTTTTTATTTTAGTGAGTAAGTTAGTAAATACATTAAATTCTTATTATAAAATATTTGAGTTGCAAAGAAAAAAAACAATTAAGTTAATTTGTTAATTTACAATAAGATCAGTTTATTACTACTACAAATCAATTGTTCTCATAACTGAAGTTACAATCTAATTGTTAATAATTGTCTGTAGAATACATAGTAAGGTCATTACATTAATATAAGGAATAAGTAATATATTTGCGTAATTAAAAACAGAAGTGAAATATTTTTACTTGAAATTCTTTATAGTACAAAATTATGGCAGAAAATAATTTTTTTATTCTAAGTTAAGAAAGGGATAAGATTAGAACATAAAGATTAAAGGAATAATATACGAGTATGTAACGTATAAAGCAAAAACACGCTTGTCCAATAATTTAAATATATATTTATAAATAAATAATAATTATTAAATATAATGTCGTATTTAGTGACTACGTGTCATGAAACAGTGGCGTTAGTGTTAATCAACTTAATATTAATAATATTTGTATTTAATACATTATATTTAGCACGAAAAGTTAGTGTAGTTTTTTGTAATATGGGCCTTTTAAACTATAGTAAGACTTTTAATTTACATATACAATTTTTCTACAAGTATAATCTGATAAAATTAATTGACCGTATTTTTACTTAAAACAGTTTCAAATTTTTATTATAATTTTTTTATTTATTAATTATATCGAATCGTAAATATATTAAATAATAGCGGTTTGTGTGATGATTTGAGGTTTAAATCTATTAATTAAACACTTTATTTTTTAATTATAATATATTTTATAATAATTCTCATAGTTATTTAGTACTTAATAAATTTGTTTTCTTAGTTCGGTAAAAACCAAATAAAAAAAGGTATAATTTTTTGGCGTATGAAATTCATTTCATGTTATCATTGATTTTAAAATGTATAGATACGATTTTCTATTTTTATCAAGTCGAATGCAAACGATTATAGCTTGACTAATGACTGTATCCACATAGGTGCTACCTATTTTTACAAAATATAACTGCTTATTTTAAAATAAATATTACATAATATGAATCATTATTGTACGAATATTTTGTTTTTATCAATCTTTAGTTTTTATGTAACCCAATGTAGCTTACAATTTTTAACTGGAAGCTTTAAATAATTGATTATCTTAACGCATCATTTTTGATTCGTGTTAAATGTTTTATATTGTGAGCCGGCAAAATATGTTGCGTCCGAATAAGAGGATTCAAATTTTATAATCGATTTGTTAGTGATTACCAATATTCATATCAGTGGCGCCCAAAACGTGTTTTTTAAGCTTAGCTAGATTTTATTATACCCACCCAATCGCCTCAAAACTCCAAATTTAAACTTTTTTTTTTTTTATTATTATTTGTTAATATTATAAATACTATATAAATAATAGGACAAAAATAATATGAAGCTTGAATAATACAATATTATCATCATTATTAATTATAATTAATGTTTCTCAAATTAATTGTTTTAATTTACATTTTATAGTATCCACCCACGCCTAATTTTCTAGATGTAGTGGCCGCTCCATCTAGCAATAGAGTTGGGCGCCACTCATTCGTACATGTACTTACTTTATTTCAGCGTTAAACAGCTAAGATATTTACAATCAACAGTTTAGAACTTAATGCGTAAATTTGTTTAATATTTGTACCTATATTATTTTAATAATGTATATATGTATATATTTTATTTATACTTACATTTTTATTACAAGTATTGTTCGACTGGGCCACTTTATAACATCTTTTATTTACAATAACAGTGTACAAAAATAATTTAAATAATTAATAGTTGTACTTATACTTAATAAATTAAGATTAAAAAATGTTACCATTGATTTTACATAAATTACGTATCTGAATAACAATATTTAAATGTTATTGCTGATTTACACATTCTGGAGGCTAATTAATGAATATTGACTAAATTTAAGCTTTATCTGTACAGTTTGATTTTTAGAGATGGCTGTAGCAAATAGTTTGCAATATTAATTTATCCTTATAAATTCAAATTGATATGAAAATTTGTTATTAACTGTACTGTTATTATTTTCAGCTATTCCCAAACTTTTACGACCAAGGGAACCCTTAAAAAATATTTTTTGTTTCTTGGAACCCCAACTTGATCCCAATTTTTCATTTATTGTTATTGTAAAACCTATACTCCAAAAAAGGTTTTAAAAATAGTTCATGATTATTATTTACTACAATTACTGTTCTCAATGTTCATATACATATAGTGGCAGTGGCACAAGTAGGGGAGGGTCCCTGGTTCTGAACCCCTCCTTTATTTATATTAGTTATATTATAACATGATTATATACCTTAGTTTATCTTAGTTTCAATTTATAAACTTGTATATAACTTTTACCTTTCTTTTTACATACATAATAATAATACATTGTAATACATTTAATTATCAGTCAATTTTACATAATAATTACAATATTTACATTTATCAAACAATAAAATAATAATTAAATTTGCCAGCTACTTTAAAATAATAGTATTTTAGGACCCCCCCCCTCCTTTAAAAAATCGTGGTTACGCCACTGCCTTGCGGAACCCTAAAGATTGTCCCCCAGAACCCTTAGATTTCGCAAAACACATTTTAGGAATCGATGATTTATATTAACTACTTATAAATAAATGTATAAATCAGCAAATAAATAGACAAAAAATATAATATAAGAACATCATTGTGTCTAATTATGAATATTTAGATATGAGTATACAAATAGGTACTTACATTATAAAGTTTTAAAATTTTATACAGATCACCTAATAATGATTGACTTATGTATCTATTTACATTAGTTTTAGTATATAATGTTAAATATTTTTTTACGTTTATATTTAGAGTTGAATATTTTAGATTTTAAATAATTAATGTATTTTTAGCCTATAATTTTTTTGGCATAATTAATTTTTATATCATATGCAATGATTTCTCGTTTATTAAATATCAACCTGTGGAGCAAACGTTTTTAATGTAAAGGAAATAGCAAATTTTTTGTATAAAAGTCTTATTGGTAGAACATTAAGTTCTATGTAGTTGTCTTTTGTGGATTCCGTTTTAGTTTTTTTGTTAAGGCATATACAAATCACTTCATTTTGCTGAATATGTAATGTATTATATGTACTGTTGTACTACACCATACAATTATTCTATACTGACTATAGACTAGTAAAGTGACATATATATATATACAATTCTCATAATGTTTTTAAAAATTATTCTATTTAATTTAAATAATTTAAATGTAATTGCCCTTAGTTGTATTGTAATGTTAAATATATGTATATTACATCTCATATTATAGTCAAATATCAAACCCAAATATTTTATTTTATTTACTCTATTTATTATACAGTAGCTTTGGTTATACATTAACGTATACATTAATTAAATCAATAGAAAATTTTAATTTTTTTTTACATACTATGTAATTATGTGAATCTTACTAATTGTAAACAGAACATAAGAAATTTGAATTATCAAGCTAATGATTTTTTCATACTTTGAGTATTTTAACAATTTCTCAGAAAATATCTGTTTTTTTCAAACTATTAACCTATATTTTAACTTTTAAAGTAATTTATAAAAAAATTTTTTTATATCAAATTTATTGGATTTTTTTATATTTTGTAAATATGCTTATTTGTTTAATTTTTATAATAACCACTTAATTTTGTATCTAAATATTTTTTATAATGATGATAATAATAAGAAAACTTACTATGCATTTTAATATCTATGAAAACAATCATAGTAATAAATTTATCAAAAAATATAATCATTTAAATTTATAGTATTTTTTACAAATGTTTTAAACACATTGAAATTATCTAGACATTTTTAAATTGTAAATAAAAAAAAGGATAAAACTTCTATAAAAAATAATTAATAAAAAAAAATGTAACTGTTTATAAAATGTATTCTAAAATAGTTGTATGTTTAATAAAAATATCTTAGCTTTCTGAAGGTAATATAATGTAAAAAATTATTAATTTTAAATAAATAATTTTTAATTTTGATTTCATTATTTGTTTCAGTATGGTGGTGAGGAATTTACACCAGATCCAGCTAGATTTGCTGCTCAAAAACCTGGTTCCTCTGTATATAATGCTGATCCCTATTATTTAGGTAAATATTGTACTAAATTATTGTGAATTAATTTTTTTTATTTAATTATTTTTATCTTAGATGGTACAGGAAATAACAGTGATGTTTGGACTACTAGTGCTACTGCTCAACTTCAGTCTCCTACGACCTATACAACATATACCAATCCACCTAACTCACTGCTAACCACATCTCCCAACATGACGCCAAACAATTTTCCACCAACAAACACTATGCTAACACCTGAAAATTTGGTGAGAATTTATTATTTATTTTGATTTTAAAGTGATTTTCAACATTTGAATATAATGATTCTGAATCAGGAGCAAGTGAAAACAACTTTACTAATGTGAATACTAAACTAATATAAAAAAAATCCTTCAATGGTAACTCCAACAATATATTTTAATGTTTATTAAAAAATAATTTATAATAGGAATGTAAAAATATTTAAAATATTCACATTTATTTGTATATACGCAGTAAGTGATTAATTATATTTATAAAGATATGCTATTTAAAATTCTTCTGTGACTCACAATAAATTTAATTAAATTTTTTTTATTATTGAAACATTTAATGGACTATAATTGTTAGAAGATATTATATTAAAATGCATTTAATTTAACAATAAGCAATACACAGTATTATATATGTTTTGTCACTCAATTTTAATATTTTTGATCAACATTATTTATTTATTAAAATGTTTTTTGACTGTATTATTGAAACAATAAAATAAATATTGAAATGTAATATTTATTAATTACTTTATTTTAACTATGAAATACTTAATTTAAAAAATTGTGCAGACACAATGTTAAAATTAAATTTTGGGTATCAAAAGCCAATGACCTTTGAATTTCAATAAATTAAGTAATAATAAATAAGTAAATAATAAACAATATCAAACAACTATTTAATTGTTTGATTCAAAATATTAAAATAAATTTACAAATGTTATATTGTAATATTTAATGTCATATTCTTCTTCTTCCACACTTTTCTCCTATTTGGGTTGGCCACCTTTGTCCTAAACCTCCACTCGTCTTGATTTTCGACATCCCCTATGTACACACCAACAGTCCTCATATCATTCTCAATTATATCTAACCATCTATTTTTTGGTCTTCTTCTTCTATATTTCCCTTCAACGTTCATTTTCATAACCACTGTTACTGCTTTTGTTTCCTCTTGCTTCATCATATGCCCAAACCATCTTAGTCTATTTTCTCTTATCTTGTCCACTATCGATGCTAAACCAATACTACCTTTCACATATTCATATGTCCAATAAACTTGATAATATGTTTCAATCACTAAGTATAAGACATTTATATGATTTCAATTTTAAATGAGATAAAATATTAATAATTGTATTAAAAATTAAATTAAAATTAATTTACCTTTAAGTATATTAAAAAATATACTCTGATACATGTATATGAGCAATTATAATAATTTCAAATATTAATGTTTTATTCATTTAAATACAGTGATAATTAATGTTTGTTTTCCACAGGGTTATAATACTATTGGTCCAAATGCTAGTATACCTCCTAGTGGTGTTTCACCTGCTACAGATGGCCTAGGCACTTCCCCTCTACCACCTATGTCAAGCTTGCGTGGAGCTCCTCCTTCTGCTCCAAGTCCAATTGCAGTTACCCCTAGCTCAATGATGTACCCAGGACATAACAGTCCCACTATTCAATCTCCCGGGGATACACTTGGCAAAGCATTAGCATCAGTACGATAAACTATTTTATTTATTTGCTTTATTTTTATATATGTATATAATATATAAATATATGCTGGGATAATAAGGTGTGCTTTAATAGTTACCATTGAAGGCTTTTTGTTGCTTAATTAACAACTAATCATGGCAATTCATTATAAACGTTTCATAGTTAATTATGTGTTGTGGTTAGGAAGGAATAGGTTTTTATAGGAACCATTTTCAATCTTTATTAAACAAATATCTAAATCCTATCCTTGAAATTTTACATACTGTGGTATGTTTACAGTATTTAAACCTACGTCAGTGGTTAAGAATCATTTCATATTTATTTATTTTAAAAAGATCAAATAAAAAAAACCAATATCTAAAAAACAACAATGTGTTGTTTTAGATATATCCCACTGACCAGAGTGTCAGCAGTTACAGTTCAAATCCATCTACACCTATAAGTTCGCCACCACCTTTGGCACCTTTACCACCTACAAACAATGCCGGATCTTGGACCCCTGGCGTAGTACCACCCCATCCTGGATCTCCTCATTTCCCTACTGACCATCGCACTATTCATTTGGTATGTAATATTCTAACATTTCTAACATTTAAAATAATAAATACTATTTGTAAATTGCCTAATTTTGGGTTGCTGCATATTCTTAATGTATTTTATAGTCTAACAGCTTAATTGCACAAATATATTAGTTTTTATTATAATTATTGTTATTGTTATTACAACTACAGGGTAGTCGCATGGAAGAAAGACTGGATGATGCCATAAATGTTTTACGAAATCATGCTGAAAGTCAAGCTTTAAGTTTAGCTGGTGTTCAACATTCCGCTTCAGGCATTGTACCATTATATCATCAACATATAGTAAGTTAAATAAATTATTTTTAGATTATAGTTGCTTATAAATTTATTTTAAACTTAATACATTTCATTTTATTTTTAGGGAAGTCCTCATTCGGCTACTGCTACAGTTGGAGGTGTCCCAAATACTTACCAAACACTTTCAACATGTCAAGATAGTGATGGACCAATTAAAATTGAGAGACTAAGCAATATCAGTATGTATTAATTAATTTAATTTGTGTCATATAATTCAGTTGTTCTCCAACTTTTTTGTCCGCGGAGCCTTTATGTTTTCAAAAAAATTATGGAGCCCCGAAAATCAGGAATTTATATTCAAGAAAACAATAATAATAATATTTCATATTGAGAAAAACACACAGTTCAAAATTAATTTTTTCTAAAGTTCAGATTTTGTCATTTGCTATGAAAACTTTGGTCATTTTAAGTTGTATTGATAAACTTACTTCATTTAATTTTGTGAAAATACTAGCCAAGTTATGAAGTCATAATAACCAAATTTTTTCAGAAGTCTTGGTTGTAAATAAAATTGGTGTCCTTACAGGATGTATAACTCGTTGCGCAATTCATTAGGTCACTAATGTTTTTCCTCAATAACTAAGAAATTTAATAATATTTAAATTTAGATAATTAATATATGTCCACGGAGCCTCTAGACTTCTTCCGCGGAGCCCTAGAGTTCCGCTGAGCACAGTTTGAGAATCGCTGATATAATTTAATAAAATATTTTTATCTAATTAAGATTTCTAATTTTTCTCCTTTTTTTAGAAAAGCGGAAGGAACCTCCAGACAGTTCAGATACGAAGCCAACTAGCAGTGATCACTTGTTAGTAAATAACATCGTTAATGCCAATTCACCCCCAAATGATTCGTCTCTAATTAAAAATTCAAAACGGTCCCGCCGATAGTAAGTTAAATGTGAAATTTCCCCTTTTTGGTTTTATAAGACACATTAACTTAAATTAACTTGAGATTTTTGTTTCGTAGAGGTGTGTAATCAGTTGATTAAACCGAGCTGAACCTCAAACGAACAAATATCAATTTAAAATTAAATTACCACCTACTAAATTTATATGAAATCTGAGTTAAAAACTATCGCGTGGCCATTTTTATAAATTTAATATTTAGTTAGTTATATTATAACAATTACTTTGAGATGAATGTTTACAAAACTAGTTTATTGGTAATTTATTACATTTTCTTTTAATTGGATGATAATTTTATTAATTGCTAAATAATTTAAAATATCAAAAAACTAGTGTTGTATAGATAATAAAAATATATATAAAAATGCATAGTTGAATATAACTAGTATAATTTCAAAATAATCCCTTAAATAATATTTAATAAAAACCTAAATAAATCCCAAAATAAGAAGCCTATACATGAAAATACTAATACAGATAGAATATATACTAATTTTAATTAGAAATACTAGTGAGTATATGTAACATGAGTACCTAATTCAAATGAAATAACAAATTATTATTACTTATAATTTTGGTGTTCAATTGACATTGGATACTTGCACACCTCTATTTATTCTTTACCCACAGCTGTCTTTAAAAATTATAAAACACACTTTAATTTTTTTTATCAATATTATTTTAGTTGTTCTAGTGCTGATGAAGATGGAGAAGATCCATCTACAAAAGCGCACAGAGAAAAAGAAAGGAGACAAGCCAATAATGTTCGCGAAAGGTAAATAATAACCTTTTCACTTATGTCCCACTTTTAATTTAATATAAATTTATTAAAATAACTTTTTATTTGATACTGGTTTTGAAATTTAATTCAATTTCTTAAAAAATATTATTGATTTTACATTAACTTTTATTAACATTTAACATTTGTTTTATACAATTTAAAAATATTTCTAATTAAAAATTCCGAATAAATAAAATTATTAATACTATTTTCTTAAATTAAAATTCTTGTAGTATTAAAAAAATATAGTTACAACATAGATAATATAAGTTTAGAAGACTATTTACTATCTGTAATGTTTTCTTATTGCTGTTGTACAAGTGTGGACGACGAAAGCGAAGATCCTGAATTAAAAGCTCAGCGGGAAAAGGAGCGTCGCCAAGCAAATAACGCTCGTGAAAGGTGAGCTTTTTAGCCTGCAAATATATGCGGCGCTTGGCTCCTTTTAATTATTTTTTTATCAATAATAATTTCCAGATTTCATTTAATATTTTTAAAGAACAGAAACATAGTATCTTAATTGAATAATAATAAAACTTATATTTATAAATGTATGCATTATATTTCAACTCGGTCCATACCCCTTGTACACAGCTAAAAATCAATGACTAGATGAGATTTAAAAATAATACGATCAATTTAACCACCCAATGTCTCAGTTTTAATTTATAATTCATTTTAAAAAAAATTATTTTTTATTTGTCAAAATAAACATTATTTCTTATAACAAATTGTTTTTCTTATCATAAATATTTATATAGAAACTAAAGGTACCAAATTAAAAATATATATAATTGAAATTTTAGTGCATTTTATTTTAAAATTAAATATTTAATCAAATGGTAGGTTTTGATTATAAGAGTTTTACATTAAAATATGAAAATTTAATTGTTATACTTTTTACTTGTAATAGCTTGGTTAATAACTTGAATTTTCACATTTTTTTTTCTTCAGAATTCGAATTCGTGACATTAATGAAGCATTAAAAGAACTTGGTAGGATGTGTATGACACACCTAAAGACCGACAAACCTCAAACTAAATTGGGTATTCTCAATATGGCTGTTGAAGTCATTATGTCATTGGAACAACAAGTTAGAGGTACATTTTTATATCTATGATGTTAAGTTATTTTTGGAAACTTTAATATAGTTTTTTTTTTTTTTTTTGTTACAGAGAGAAACCTTAATCCTAAAGCAGCATGTCTTAAGAGGAGAGAAGAAGAAAAAGCAGAAGATAATGTTGGCCCTAAATTGGGTCATCATTTATCGGTTGCGCAACATATGGTTGTTCAAGCTCCACATTTTCCACCCATGACTCTGGTAAGTTTATATTTAATTTAATATTTTATTTTATTTTTTTTTTTTTTTGAACTGAACAGTTTCAACATTTATTAAATATTCATAATTATAGCCAAGTAATCAAGCAGGCCTGCCCCATAATGGACCCCAGTAGCAATGGAGTACACCATCACTACAATAGTATACTCCTAATTGATCTGGAGGTAATGGCATTAATTTGCTCTTACATAAAATCTCCATTCAAATATTGCCAAGTAAATTATATTAGTGATATTTTTTATTCATATGAATTTGTTGTTTTTTTTTTTTTTTATATACTTACAACATAAATAACTTTTTTTTTTGTCCTATGTGATTAATACAAGTTAAGCACGACATTTTGATTTACATTTAGATTTATCATAAATGCAAGACTGAATTCAGATTATTGTTCAGTGTATATTAATGCATTACAAAAATCTCAATATTTCATAAGAATAAAACAATGACCACTTATAATCAATCACTTATTTCATCCTGAATTCAGTCTAAATATTATATTTATTTTTTACTTTAAAATGTCATAGTGATCCCAAATCGATTTTCCTTCATTAGACCACAATGATGTACAATTAGTAAATAAATCATAATCATGCCTAAAAATAATTTCAGAAATTAACATATAAAAACATATTGAAAATTAATATTATTGGCGCAACTGAAATTTTTATTGAAATTTAATCATTATCAAATATTCTTTACCTAATTATGTATATATACAGAGTTGGATCTAGAGGGGACAAGTGGGTGGGTATGCTTTTTCCAGACGCTGTTAGTATGAGGGCCCTCTTAAGTTTGTGAAAAATTAAAAAAGTCTTGAATATACATTTTTCCACCTACATAAAATAAACACTGTATTTTTATTAGCCCTGAGTTTCAAATTTCCTGAATATGACACTATATAAATATATATTTATATATTATAAAAATTAATTGATCAAAAAAAATCTTAAAAATAACAATTTATTTAAAAATTAAGTTTGAAGTAGAACTACTTGATTATTTTTTTTAAATACCGTATATTTTTTATTTATTTTGCTTGTGGGTTTATTTTTATGCCAATAAACAATGATTAATAATAAAAACTTGAAAGTAACAGTATTTCTGTAAATATGAAATACTTTTACTTTCTCATTTTCTTTGTCTAATAAATTAAAATACTTGAATATTATATAGTATATTGTTTCCGGGTCTGATTTAGCATTCCCAAAAGTTGTGCTAATGATAATTTGAAAAACTAATTTAAAGTTACCAATTATTGAGTCTTAAGTCCTAAAGCATCTTAACTCATTTTTATTTAATATTTACAATTTATTTACATAATTGCACATAATTTCCAACTCTTTCTGTCTTCACTATCTTTAAAATGGCGTGGTTATATATGATTTATTGAAAGTTGAATTTTTAATTGTATTCAATAGTAAAATATAATTTAATTTTATATACAGATTTATCTTTATGAATTGAGTTCCAATTTACTTTTTTATTAGTGTATTAGAAAAAACGTATGTCCTCGTGCTTTAATTTTTTTTTTTTCTTAGGATTATTGTTTATGAATATTTTCTTTTTTTGTGACAGATTCATATTTATATTTTTTAAAAATATAACTGTATATATATATATATATATATATACATATTTATATATATATATATGTGTGTGTATATGTATGTGTATGTATCTATTTGCGTTTCTATAAGAAAAATAATTTCATTACGCTCATGCCAGTATTAATTTTACAATCAAAAGTATTATTAAATTTTGAATCACATAGTTCTACAAGTATATTTTATATATTAATTGTAAAAACTGTTTCCTAATAAGAAATATCTCCATAGTAATAACTTTTTTTATTGCATTTTATTTTAAGTTATTTTATTTTTACATTTGGAAAAAAATTTGATTATATAAATATTGAATATACATGTTGAGTATAAAATTGTACCTTAAAATGATTGATTCATTACTTCCTGCTATTTAATTATTGAAATGTTAAAACTTAACCAAATTCTTTAAAGTGATTTAATGAAATTGGGAATGTACGTAATTATATTTTCATATTTGATTATCAAAACTGTTATGAGATATATCATTAAATATAAACATAGACAAAAGATAATAGACAACCTACTTATATCAGAATAATTTGTTGTATTCGAGTCACTTTCTCTTGCAGCATTTTTTGTATAGTTTTATATATAAATCAGTGCTATAATAATTACTAATTTTATTGGAATTTTACATTATTGTTCAATATTGTTTATATAATAGTATGTTAAAGATGTTACAATAATAAAACTTTAATTTGGTTAAATTAAGAACAGTGACATTAGAACCAGATAATATCCATAGTAATAGGCTTTGTACTTAAAATTTTACCTCATATAAATAATTAAATAAATATTTTAGTATTTTTGTCCAGGGTTTTAACATAACCTTAGTTGGGTATCTATATGCATACTTATAAGTATCTATAAATCTTTTGTCTATGATTATGAAACTTATTTCTCATAAAAATTAAATGATAAAGGTGTATTTTATGTTAAAAATACAGTTTGTTATAACTATTTTGATTATATATTTAACTAATCGTAAAAAAAAAATGTAGGTATTTACAGAAAAAAAAAATAATTTGCATAATATTTCAATTTAAATTAATTTATTACATACAATGTATATCATGTACTATTACTAGTTTTGTCCCCTGTATATAACTGAGGTAAAATTTAAATACATGTACTTAATATATAATTCTTATGATTTTATTATAAATTCCGCTTAAATTTATGAAAAATGAAAGATTTGTTTTCGTAGTACATGTTATACAAATTCTAATATTGCACTTGAGTGGAAAATATATTAACTTAATATAACATGTTATTCTATAGGTACAGACTAAAATTTAATAATAGTAATTAATATAACAGTATTATATATTAATATATAATAATAACAGTATTAAAAATTATTTCATAAAGATTTTTAAAATGTATACTTGTTATAATAAACATTACAATCTCTGAAATTTAATGTTTTGGAAGAAATTATTGAAGAATAGAAGTATTTCTTTCCTTCATTAAAATTAAACAATCACATTAAAACTACAATCTATAATCATAATAAAAACATTGTTAAAAAACATGCTATCATCAGAAATTAAGAACTTTTAACATTTTAAGTTTTTCGGATATTTATTTTCTTTAACCTCTATACTTTTATTTTTACCGAGTGCAGTATTAAATAGTATGTAATTATTTTTCTGTAATGTATTAAAAATCATAAATTAACTAGCTGAGCAATTTTATCTAGGAATTTATTTTTTTTATTTTAGTTCTTGTATTATATTATTTTTTATGTTTACTTCCCTATTTTTTAATTTAGTTTTAATAAAATAATTTTTTCATCCAAAATGTCTTCTTTAGTTCTTTGTATTTTATAGAAATAATATATTTTAAAATTCAAGAAATTTAAAATGATAGGAATTACATATTAGAATATATATTTTTAAGAAAAATGACTGGAGTTTTTCTGTATCATTATTTTAATCTAAATAATTTATGAAATAAAATCCCTAATTCTTGTTATAATTATTTGATTATTATTATTTTTTGTAAAATTAGACTTGTAATGTAATAAATATTAAATGCGCTAAAAGATATTTATTTACATACATATATATACATCACATTTATAAATTAAGATTTTAGCAAACTATTTGTTAGATATAAATGTACATGATATGATGCCATAATTTGTATTTTTTCTTATTGAAACTTTTAAAAAATTATCCATATTTTTTTTATTATTATTATTATTATTATTATTATTAATTTATGTCTTATCATAGCTTAGTATTTTAATTAAATTTATTTTCGTTTTTATTTTACGTTAATTTTTAAACGAATGAACATCACTTCTAACATCACCTAAACATTATAAAAAATTGTCATCCATAATATTTTTGATGTGGTTTACTGTAAATATAGGCTATATTATTTATATGTTAATTTTTGTAACGTTTGATTGAGAATAAAAGTTTAATAATATGTATAATATTATTAGTATAAGAAGCAACTTGAGTATTCTATGTATTTTGTAAAAAAAATGATTTCTCACCTTATATAATAATATATTATATTCCAAGATGTTCAAAATTGCCGTCCGTTAACAGCTCCTTTGACCTGGTCCACATGAGCGCCCATGAAGCCGACGATTTAGACAATTTTAAGGCTTCCTCCCTCTGTCTCTATGTGCCATAGCTGCTCACAGTCTGTGTATCTCAGATACATGTCGGTGCCGGCGATCGTCTTCGCGGTTCGCTCCGTAATACGTACGTTCCCGTTCCCGGTTTCCCGTCGATGTAACCGTTACGCCGGTGGGCAGTCATTAACCACTTCCGTTTATTATATTTGGTTTCGGCCCGTGTACTAGTATCTTATACTAGTGTTTTGCATTTTCGTGACTAGTTATTATTAATGTTATTGTTGTACCGCCGGCTCATTGCTGTGTGCGTCAATAATTGTTCCGTCCATGTGCATTTACATAATTCCGACTACGCTGTCAATAGGAACGGTAAAAGTGACACTATGGCCATTACCATCGCGCGCACAAAAATGTCAGCATACATCATACATTGCTATAGTCTGTTCAGATTAAGAGTGCCCAAACTCGCGCATATCTTCCGAGAAGCCGATAACGGTCGGACACCCATCAATATCTCGACACTCTGTGATTCGTTGTCATTGTTCGACCGCCGTCGTTGTTTATCAAAGTCGGTGACTGCCGCCTTGTATACAGATTATTATTAAAAAAAAACCTTGTTATTCAAAATAGAACTATAGCTTGGCATTACGAGAAGAGTGTGGTAATACAGTTCACTACGTATAACAACGTCGTAACGCGTCAGCATACTACAACGTTCCTAGTGGAAAGAACACATGCGCAGTAAAAACCAGTTTTCGTCCATGTGATTGGGTGCTTTTTTTTAAATGGACTATAGGACTCATAGGAAATAGACGGCTCTCATTGGCTGTATTACGTTTGTGATAACATTATAAAATTATCAATACTCAAGGTTTCCAATTTTTTTTTTTTTTTATAACTAAAATTGTTGTTTAAATTAATTTGATAATGTTTGTATAATAAATATATATATTAAATATTTATTTTTATAAATTTTAAAATTAATATGAAATATTTATTATAATATTAAAAAACAGATAAATTATCATTAAGATGTTTCAATATCAAATTTCGACCAGTCCTACCTAATGCTAGAAACCAAATAAAAATTTTATTAGAAAATCCGTAATCTGACAAGATGTTAGTAACGTGTATCCCTATTTGTTATGATATTATGAAAAACGGAAACAATTTTCATGTATATGACAAATTGTTTTTGTCGTATTAACCACAAAGTAATAATAATAATATTACTCTATGGTATTAACTATACATTAATAGTTATATATATATATATATATATCTGTAATATGATTTATTTAATAC